GGGCTGGGGTGCTGAGCAGCCCCCGGGTGTTTCTGTGCCTCCTGGGGGCGAGGGGCTCCTCTCCGAGTCTCCCGGGGGTGACACAACAGAGCCAGCTGTGCGGGACAGCAGGGTTGCAGTGGGCAACGCTCAGGTCCTGGGATGGTTTCGTGTTGGTGACATCCCTTCGGGGCAGTGACACTGACCTGGCCGTGCTGACATACCCGGGACCACAGCGCTGGCCCTTCGCACCGCCTGGATTACAGGGGTGACATTAACCATATTCCCAAAGGGCCGGCTGGCCTCATTCTGCCTAATCTCCCATTACAGACAAATTCTATTATAGCTGACGCTAAACAAATTCCTCATTTGGCACTTTTTTTTTTTTTTTAACTTGCTCAAAGCCCATTGCAGAGACTCAGCCCCTTGAGGAGCCTCCAACCCGCTGTCCTCATGCACGCTTACCAGCAGCCTTTCACAGTGCGATGGTGGGAGTGGGATCAGCGGTGGTAGCCACAGCGGTGGCAGCCAGGATTCCTTGCAGATGTCCCCCCTAGCATGCCAGGAGTAGAGGTGACAGCACAAAGGCCAGGACACCCACAGAGCAGCTGGCATTTTCAGGGTGCTGCTGCAGTGGCGTGAGAGCTTCCTCGATTTCTGGGTAGGCTGAGCATCAGTGATCTCAGCTGGGGCATCCTCAGAAAGAACTTCTCCTGCACTTACAGACTCGCCAGGAAATGCAGCGTTTCCAGGTGCTCCATTTCTTGGATCACTGTCCTGCTGGGAGGAGGCATCAGCCAAAGGTCACTGGTTTCCATGCAACTCTTCATTTTTGGTCTCTCTGGAGGTTTGGTGTGAATCGAAAGAGCAGATATCTTTTATTCCAGACCCAAACAGGTTCACCTGAGGAAGGTTTGCTAGGCAGCAGCATACGGTGGCTGTATGAGTGCATTTCTGTCGGCTTCTTCCTGGGAAGGGAAGTGTGATTACTTTTTTTTTTTTTTTTGGAAGTTTTAGTGTCATTTACCTTTCTGGGTGTTAAACGACATAAACTGGGAGTTTACTCCCTGACCCCATTTGCTGTACTACACCATTTAATAAAGCCTTTTTAGCGTAGGTGGTTGATGCATAGAGCAGGTGGGAAGGAGCATGTTAACGCCGCTGCCTGGCTTCTCGATGGAGAATTACAGCACTTCCATGGCATTTAAATACATGCTCAGCAAACCTGGCTGTGGGAACGGCTTGGTGTGTCAGCTCTGCCTGGGAGCGACTCCTGCAGCCACGGCGGAGGGGACGCAGCGGGAAAAGGGGAGCTGCACCCCGGTGGGGTGCACACGCCGTGCTGGGGGGTGGGAATGGTGCAGCGCGAGCCGTGACTCAGCATCGGGCTCACCCCCCTGGCACAGCAGGCGTGGGATTGATGCAGACGCCTCGCGGGCTGGCTGTCGCACGCCGGCAGCTTTGCTCTTCCTGGCTTCACACCGAATGGTGAGTGGGGATGGTGGAGTCAGCGGAGCTGAGATGATTTATGGAGCTCAGGTCGAGGGAAGGCTGCTCAGCAGCTGGGACGCAGACACCCTGAGCTCTCTGCCCCTCTTCTGGGGCCACCCGACATTGGGGCTGCCCCCCCGGGTGGGTAGGGCACACTGGCTGGCCTCCTGCTCAGTGAGCTTCATCCCATGGACGGAGGGGCTGCACTCTTCCTAGAGCTGGGTTTCAGCTCTGCCTGAGGGCAGCTGTGTCTCCTGCTTGGTCTCCTGGAGTCCCCTTGGCAGTCCCGCGTGCGCCATGGGTTACATCCCCTCCAAAAATTGATCTGCCATCAGTAAACCAGCAATCAGGTCATCTGCTGGAATGCAGCCGTGAAATAATCCCAGGCCACCGATGCTGCTGGCTTTCCCCAACAGCTGGCCTTTAACGATTGCTTCCAAAAGGTCAGGAAAGCCATCAGAAGGTCCCATGAGCTGTGACTGGCCTGGGGGACAGCGTGACACAGATGCTTTTAGAATAGGATGAAGGACTAAGCAAGGAGAAAACATTTTTCCCTGTCACTTCTCCTCTCTGAATGCCACCTCACTGCCATCCCGCTGTGCTTTGCCCTTCTGCTGAAGCCCATCCAGCACCAAGAGCCGGGTTTCAGCGGGGTCAGTGTGCTGTGGAGAATCTCTTCCCCTCCATGGTGGCCCACCATCCACAGCTTCCTGGCCCTTGTTGCCCTTCGGGCTCCTGCTTGGTTCCGGAGGATGCCCTGCTGCTGCCATCTCCCCCTTTCCCGGCTCTGGCTCCAAAATGGTTCCTCTCTTCTTGGAGCTGCTTGGAGTGCATTTGAATCAGCCTTTGCTGACACCGCTGCTGCCATGCAGCATGAATCATTTTTGCTCCTTTCCTCTAGTTCTCGGCATTTCACAGATCTCCCCTCTTCCTCCTGCTGCAGGTTCCTTTGCAGGTCCTTCCTCAGCTGTCTTTTGGAGGGGGAAGGAGCAGAGGAACACTCGCAAAGCCAGCCCCAGGGCATCCCGGGAGAGGGGAGCCTGTGCTGACCAGGAGGGCAGAGCAGCCTGGTGCAGGGGAAGGACATCAGACGTTTCACCTGGGGACCACTGGCTGCCTCCTGCCCTTCTCAAAGGAGGAGCTGTTTGGGATCGAAGAGCTGTTGTTCTGCTGAGGGATGTTGTGGCATGAGATACTCCATGGCGGTTGGCTCCTGTGCAATATGTTCTCGCAGGATCCTTTTGGTTCTACCCTGGTGCAAGGCCACCTCTGCCCTGAGGCATCCTCTTGGTTGTGCTGGAAGCTGTCCTCACCTCTGACACCACCGTCCATCCATCCATCTGCCTCATGCTTCTTTTAAATGTCCTTGAGTCTCTAACCGCCCAACCCTGCACTGCAGCCCCGTTATGTCCAGTTCACCCCAGTAAGGACCAGCATGGGCTCTGTGCTCTCTGGGAGATGCTCGCCAAGCCTGGGCTCTCCTGTTAAACCCAGAACTCAAGGGGCAGACTCCTTCCTAGTGTCTTCTCTGCCTCTTCAGACTGGTGGGGCTGGGAGGGGAACCATTAGGACTTGCAGGCAATAACCATACCTGTGGGATCTTGATGGCTGAGAGCACTGGTCCTGAGGTTGGGGTAGGAAACAGTAAATGGGGAACTTTGGTCTGGGAAAGCTCTGCAGAGCAATAGGACTGGGCATCCTGCCTTCTACTCCAGGCTGGTTCTTTTAACTCGTATCTGCTGGTCTGGTTCATCTCATCGGTTAATGGATGTTTGGGAGGAGTTCAGCTGGAGAGTAATTGGGAAAAGCAGAAAAAAAAAAAACCTGAATACACTCATAGTGTTTTCATCTCTAAAGCATCTGTCTTTAAAGAGTCACAAGAACAGGAACACTAAATCAAACCAGGGGATGGTCTGGCCCAGCATCCCATCTCTGACAGTGACTAGAAGCAGATGCCTGTAGAAGAGCAGAAAAACAACGCAAGGATGTGTTTCTTTCCTCCAGCACTCTCCCTGCCTCCAGCTGTGTTCAGCTCACACTGAGCCAGATGTGGTTTCTGTGCATTAGATCATTCTTGAGGGGTTTCTCTTCCATGGACTTGTCCTGGAACCTGCACAGACTCTCAGCATCCCACGGCAGGGAATTCCCCAGTTCAGCTGCAATCAGTGTGAAGAACCAGAGTCTTCATTTTCTGGCTCCTGCCACCTTCACCTATTTCTTTTATTGGAAAAGACAGTAAACCATCAATTCCTGTCCATCCTCTTCAACAGCACTCTGAATTAACACCGCATTATTATCTGCTTGTTACACATGGTACCTAGAGACCTCTCTGTACAGGGAAGTTTATAAAGATAAGGCTGGATAACAGTTGCTTTGCTGCAGTGCTTCCGGTCCAAGCAGAGGAGGCAGGCAAAGGGCCGGGGACAAGTGCACGACAGGAGAGCAGTGTGAGCAGACCATTCTTATCGCTGGCCTCTTTCCAAAGTTGCCTTTTTTTCTTTTGCAGGCAGCCCAGCTGGAAAATATGGTGGTGACTCTCAAGCAATTTTTCTCTTGCTTCTCCTGAAGGAGGAGTGGGTCCTGAGCAGGATGCAGCAGCCAGCGGCCAGGCACAGGAGCACAGCCATTCCCTCCCTGTACCCACCCCTCGCTGTGGGCCCATACTGCACACACCGTGTCATTGAGGATCCCGAGTGGTGCCTGGCCACTGTCCCCCACCTCACCGAGCTCTGCCTTCAGCACATCGCCCACAATTTTGAAAGTAAGTGGGAGCGCGTTTCCCCTGGGACACGTGGAGGGAGAGCATCAGTCCTGGGGAGCAGAGGGTCAGCGAGGCAGGCAGATGCCTCTGCAAGGCAGCATGGTACCCAGCCCTGCCAAAGGAGCAGATGGGCAGAAACATCCCCTCAGGCAGCTAGTTAAACAAACTGTTTAGTTGCTAAGGATGTACTTGTACACTCCAGGGATGGCTGTGGTCCTCTGGGCTGCTCTCCAGGATGTGACTCTGCCCTAACCTTGTCCTGTCATTTCTTCTTCCTTCCCTGCCCTGCTGGCCTCCCTCACCTCCCCTGTGACCAGGGCTGTGAAGGTGCTGTTTCCTTCTCTCGATTCGTGCACGCGTGATGGTAGCACTCAAGGATGGAGCCCCATTGTGCTGAGGGCTGTACAGAGAGATGGAGAATTGCTCCCTGCTCGGAGCTACCATCTCACAATACTCATTGTGCTCACAGTCTCAGGCCTTCTCCATGGCTTTTGGTGGGGATGTGATGAGTTATGCCTCTCCACTGGTGATTTCTGTTACTCAACAGTACTGTGTACGTGTCACCAAGCGTTCATGGTGTGAGTACACACGGCTTTTCTCTGGTGTTTCTTACCACAAAGAACTTCCACCAGAGAGAAGCCAGCTGAGAATTAGAGTGAGCATCAGGAAAGAGACTGAGGGGAGAAAGCCCATAGGGAAGAAGAGTTTTTATTTGAACAAGGTGAATATAAAAGCTAAGAGTGTGTCTTAGCAGAAAGGAACAGGAATCAGTTTGTGTGATACAGATACCCCAGTTAAGATAAAAAGGGCACGAGGACCCCCATGAAGAGCACACAGACCGTTGTTCTCAAATATTGTCCTTCCATATGCTTAGAAACCAAAAGGAGACAGCCCAGCAAATGACAATCTAAGGCTGAATGAGCTCTCGTGGGAGCAGAAGTCCTGCTCTGAGTATAAACTGCATTCAAACTAAATTTAAACTGGGAGCTACGTTTCTGGTGCAGTTCCCAAATATGATGGGAGTAAACCCAATCACGCAGATATTTTATTGTAAAAGTTAGAAAGGTGGGAGATGAATCCTACACATTTGCCGCCAGCTTAGCTCCCTGCACCAGCAGCTGGCAACTGAGACGAGAACCAGTGCCAGCAGAGGGGAGGGCATGGGCACACAGCTATGGGCTGGGCAGAACCATAGCACCAGCTGTGGTTCCTACAGCCCAGACCAACCTCTCCTTCTCTTCACCCCCTCCAGAGAACCCTATTTTGGACCGTCTTCTGCCTGAGCACCGAAGGAAGGTGCTGGACAGGCTCTCCACTGGCCTCCCACTCGCTGTGACTGCCAACCTGATAAGTGATGAGAACTACTGGAAGAGGTGCTGCACTGGGCGCTGGCAAGCGTGTGACATCTCCAACTATGGAGAGAGCTGGAAACGGATGTTCTTTGAGCGTCACCTGGAGAACATCCTGAAATGTTTCATCCCAAACACCACAGACCCCAACCAGGTCCTAGAGCTCATCCCACTCTGCAAAGACTATGTGCGGAAACTGGAGGTCGATCAGTTCCTGCCACCAGTGCAGGTGGATCAAAAGGAGGAGAGCGATGACCTCTCCGATTCTGAGAGTGATTTTGAATTCGGCAAGGCCCCTGTGCACCACTACGACCTGGGAGCCCTCATTACTGCTCTCCCTCACCTTGAAGAGCTTCATCTCACTTACGGCGTGAAGGGCTGTGGCATGAACTTTGAGTGGAACCTCTTCAACTTCACCCACCAGGACTGCTCCAACCTGGCTCTCGCCGTGAAGAAGTGCTACAACTTGAAAGTAACGTATCCTAAACCAAACCTTCCTCTCTCAGCTAGATCTTCAAAATGCCCGGAGCAGGGTAGGAACTCAGGGACCAGTTTTGCTTGCTGCCAGCACCCTTCCCTTTGCAAGCTGCAGTCTGACAGAGTGCAGAGATGTTAACTTCCTGGCCCAGTGTCTTGTTCTGCATCTGTCCTCGTTAGAACAGGTTGTCAGAGGGTCGGTGAGAAAAATACTCGCTCCCACAAATCTTGTTCCCTGTAGCGCAAGAGAAAGCAATACTCATCACATAGTTCTGGGAGGGAGGAGAGAAGCCAAGAGAGGCTTTTTCCATAAGGAGTTTTTGGTAGTTATGTTCAGTGAGTACATGTCAACATGCCCCAGAGGAGCAGAGACCCCAGGAAGAGTATGGGGAAATACTCACATTTGCCTTAAGAGTGATAAGGGGTTTTTTTCTGGGCACTATCTTCAGCTCTGTGCCAACTGCAGCGCAGATACTGAGCCCCTCCAAACCATCGGTGGCCATTGCTATCCAGAGCCAGCTGGCTGAACGTTCTCCCCACAGACTGGTGTGCTTTGGGAAATGTTTGCTCAGCTTCCAGAAGAGAAATTACCTTTCCTGTGGCTATTGAGGTGCCCTGGCCACGCAGGGCATCGCCCTTCACCAGGAGCACTGTGGTTGCCACCAGCGCACGTGCTCATTCAGACACTGTTCCACGGTGATCTGGGGTGAGTTCTGTTGTTACTCCCTGCAGACGTTTGGCAGCTTCATCTCATTTGAATTTAGCTCTTTGTGTCAGAGATCCCATGGTGCCAGTGGAGAGGAACAGGCGATTCCAGGAGAGGAACCACTTCTCCCTAGCATAGGCGTGGGACATCGGTGGCATGCCCTGCCTGCTGGAACCATCTGCCCACTGTAAAAGTGACTGCTGGAACCTACTGGCTAAAGGTGTCTGAAGTGAAGGGAGATGAATCCCGTCTGGTGGACCTCACTCCTTTCAGGTCCTGTACCATGCTCAGTCCAAAGCGCTGGCTGCTTTAGTGTCCCTGTCCTTTATCCCCACAGGTTCTCAAGCTGACGCGAAGCAAAGTGGATGATGACAAGACCAGGATGCTGGTCCGTAACTTGCTGGACCACCCCTGCTTGGTGGAGCTGAACTTGTCCCACAATCTCATCGGGGACAAGGGGGCACAAGCTGTTGGCAAGTTGCTCAACCGCAGCAGATTAGAAACCCTCAATCTGTGTAACAACCAGATCCGTCACCTGGGGGCTCAGGCTGTTGCTCAAGCCCTGGCTGAGAACTCCACCCTCACCTCCCTGAATCTGCGCCTCAACCAGGTGGAGGACGAAGGCGGGAAGGCGCTCGGCCATGCCCTGCTGACCAACACCACCCTGAAGTCCATCCATCTGGGAAGTAATAACCTGTCCGAGCCAACCGCCACGATTTTCTCCCAGGTCCTGGCTCTGAACACCACCCTGACGAGGATCAACTTCTCATGCAACCACCTGGGGCTGGTAAGAGAAATCCTTTCTCCCTGCAGTTGGTGGCCCTGCATGGTGGCCTTGCCAAGCAGGTGCTGAGCCTGGCCTGCCTCGAAGCCGCAGAGGCAAACGCATCCCTCACCCCCTGCAGTCTTGCTGCAATAACAATCGGTTCCAAGCAGGGAAGAGACTCTAGCAGACGGCAGGAAGGAGAGGGATGTCTTCTGTGCCTTTATCTCACTCGTTATATCTAGCCCTGTCCACGGGGCTTTGGGCTTTTGGGCAGAGTGGGATTTTCCCCCCAGGAAACTGAAAAACCAGGGAGAATGTCTGGGAAAAATCACAGCCGCTTCACACATATGGGAGTAGATGGTAACGATAGGCGGCATGAGATGAGGGCCTTATGCATATCCTCCCTACTTTGGATCTGCTGTGCCATCTGTCACTCAGCAGCACACAGAGTGTCACCCTTCCCAGCATCTCTCCCGTCCCTCACGCACTCGGAGGAGGCTGTTAGAAAATTGGCTCCGTTGCTGAGCTCCTTTAACTCATCCTGCAGCCCGGAGCGGTGCAGTAGGTCAAAGATGTCACTTCTGGGTGCTCATAAGTGGCTCCCAAACCACAGGCTCACATTTTCTAGACAGAGGAGCATCCACAGATCTTACTGCATCCCTAAGAGCTGCAGTATGCGATATGCCAACAAACCAGACCGCTTCTCTTCTGCCGGTTACAAAGAGCTTTAGAAATCTGAAACTAGACAGCCAAATGCAATCATGCTGGCTTTTAAACTTTCTGCGCTGCCTCAATTTTTCTCACTGTCACAATAAAGAGGCATTAAGACCAGCTGTCCCTGCTGGCAGGAATATTGGCGTCAATGTGTTTGACAAGGGTTTTAAAAGGATTTGATGGTGGAAAACCTTTTGTGAGTTCTGAGGTTTATGATCCTGGCCGTGGAAAACCATTTGAGTGTAATGATACAAGGGGGCAAAGGTTGGAAAAGAGAGAAGGATTTTTGCTTAGTAAATAATAATTTCTGTGCTTATCACCTTCCTTCTGGGGAGCTCTCACTGAGTACCCATTTGTGAACCTCCACAGCAGCCCAACAAATGGGCTGGTGGTAATATTTTTGGGGAAATGGGGACCTGCATACCCTGTTAAAAAGAGACTCCTTCCCGGTCCTTTTTGCTCTGTTCTTTTTGGCAAAAGATCGAACAGGCAGGGTGCTGGGAGGAGGGGACTGCCTGGGTGGAGGAGATGGGGATGGTGGAGGTGTATTTGGTACCTGAAAGAGAACAGCTATGGGGGGAAAAAAAAGTCAAATTGTAGCATCCCTAAAGATAGTGCTTCAGGTAAGGGAGGAAAATGCCCCAAAGTGAGTTGCCTCCCTAAAGCTACATCACATTTTCTGTCCCATACAGACGGTACTGCAGATGTGTGAGACATTTCCCCAAAAAAGCCAACCCAGCCTGGGAAACGGCACCCAGAGACTGCTGGCACTGGGGCAACCCCCACTGCCGAGAGGAGGAGCAGCACCCCAAGCACACCGCCCTTTGCCCCCAGCCAGCAGCGAGCTGGGGACAGGGGACAGCAGAGACTCCTCTCAGGTTATCATCACCAGCCATGCCATGAACCAGCCTGAGCTTGAGGACTCCTGACACGGTACCCAGAGGGAGTCATTAGCGTGTGTCATATCACTGCCTGCTGCATAAGGTTACGCTCCTTCCCCGTACTTCTGTGAGCAACGTTTCGGGCTGATGCGAAGACCTTTGTCACTTCTGGCACCATCTCATGGGCTCCCCGTCACCGGGCTCCCCGTCACCGGCAGCAGGGAAGCGCAGGAGCAGCTCTCCTGGCGAGGAGGAAAGGGAGCAATAAGCTTCGCTTTCGGATCTCCTCCTTTAACCCCCTCTTCTCACCCGTTTGCAGGACGGTGGGAAGCAGCTGCTCCACGGGCTGGCGGAGAACAAGGCTTTGACCGAATTCGACCTGCGGCTGGCAGAGGTGGGCCAGGAGACCGAGTACCTCATTCACCAAATCGTGTGGGCCAACCGGGAAGCGGTGAGGCTGGGGTCTCTGCAGCACCCCCCCGCCGAACCCCGCTGATGGAAACGCTCCAGAGAGCGCTGAGCTTTGCAGGTGCAGTGTTGGAGATACTTTACTTCAGAGGTTTGCTTTTATTCGTATTTCTGAGAAACACTCAACTTGTGGCCACCCCCCCAGCCTGTCCCAGATCCCCAGCATCCAACCTGGGACTTAACACGAGACAGGCATGAGACCTCATGGGATGGCAGTGGCACCACAGAAGCCATTTGTCCCTTGAGCTCTTTCTCCCATTGCACCTGAGACCAAGTCCCACCTCCTGCGGTGTTCCTCACGTGCTCCGGCAGCAAGCTCAGTTCAGGCAACTGGACGTTGTTCCACCTGTAAAGCAGCTTAGGTGAAGTCTGCACCATCTAAATGGTCTAGTCCTGATGTAACCTTCAGGGCAGGCAGCTGTTTTAGGCTTTTTGCTGAGGACAAAAGATGCAGCGAAGATAGAGGGAATGTTGTTTCTAGTTCCTCAGCAGCTTTTTCTGGCTATTGCTCTGCTCAAGGATTTATTTGTTTTTATAGCAAAACATGTCTAGTCTCTCAGATATGGGTGGTGAACAGTGAAAAATAAATAAATTCAATAAATAATAGGTCTCTCCACCATGGTTTCCTGCTTTGGGTTGCTATGCCTTTGGTCAGTGCTAGCCTGCTTGGCAAACAGGCAAATTCTTTACAACCAGATGCTCTGCTTCACCAGTAAAGCTCTTCTGCGCAAACCTGCCACAAAAAAATCTGTGTTTTGCACAACTTCAAGCTAGAGGGGTCCCAGCAGTACTGCTGCCCCACAAATCCCACGGGGCTGAAAGTGGAGCAGCTTCCTTGAGCCTGGAGGAAAACAGAGCAGGTTCCTTCTGCCCCATGGGCTGCGGACAGCTGAAGACAGGATGGGGCGCATACCTGATCGCCTCGGTCCTTCGACTGCTCCACTTAGGAGAGGTCAGCAGGGAATTAAGGAAATGGGCTGACCTCCATCCATCCCCTCCCACCCTCTGAGCAAAGCAGGGGCTTCAGGCATCTCCCAGCCCTGCCCAGCACCAGCTCCCACAGACCCACCGCTGGCAGCCGCCTCAGTGAATCATCTGAAACTTTTATTACACCGATTTGGTTTACAATCTTTGTACTTTTGATATTTCCAACAAAAAAGGCAACATTGTGATATACTGTTTGTACATATATAGAGAGACAGACAGAGCTAGATCATATTGACAGAGTTGAAAAGTAAAAACTGTTTCCCAGTGCTCACAAAATATATTTGTTTGCCACGTACCCGCTTCTGCCTTGCTCTGCCTGATGGATACAGACATCTGCAGCGCGGCCGGCCACCGACCCGTGGTGGGCCTGTACCTGCGCCGGGTCACCCCCTTATAGATCAGAAAGGATGGAGTGCAAGGCTGGCCCATGAGGGGTGCCGACAGGGCTCAGCTCCAAGCCCTCGCAGGTCTGTGTAGTTCCCTTCCCAACTATTTGTGGATGCTCCAGGGGCTACATCTGCAAGAAAACTTAGCTAGCAGCAGCAGCTGTGAAACCTCCCCACCTGGGCATCTCCCATTACTTATTTCCCATCCTCGAGACCGAGGTATTGAATAGATTTATTTCTTTTTATTTGCATTTACAAAATATTTCCACTGAATGACACACCTGAATGAGATGAGAACTCGCGTTCAGAAACAGCAGAAAAGACCCAGATCAGCATCGGGCTGA